ATTTTAGAAATAAAAATAAATTGTAGATGAATGAAATAAACAGAAAGAAAAATAAATTTTGAAAGAATAAAATATACAAAAAGAAAAATAAATTGTGAAAGAATAAAATAAATAGAAAGAAAAATATATTTCGGAATTTCTTCCAGCGTGACTATTTTTTAACACGCGTGGAAAATAACAAACAATCAGAAAGAGATTTCAAAAACAAAATACTATAATTATAATGAAAAAATATATAAGAACATAATAATGAATAAATGATAGTGAATAATATAACGAATAAGTGAATAATTAAAAAGAAAAAAACAGAAAATTGAAAATTTGAGGAGGAATGTGCTTGATATCTTAAAGAAAGTAATGAAATAAAAATTCATTAAAAGAACACTTTTGATTATTAAAAAAAAAGATCTGTAGAGTTACAAATTGTTCTGCAGAATTGTAGATCCCAGTCAATGAAAGAAAACTCAATGATTGACAGTTCTGCCTTTAAAACATAGAATCACCAGCGAACATATATGTCAGGCTCTCCATGATTGTACAAGTAAAAATAAATGTGATATAGCATCTCTCTCTACAGTTGCGATTGACAAAGACACGAGAAACTGTAATTATCAAGTGATTTTAATTATCAAGGATTCCAGTATTATCAATTGGACTTGTAAGTTACTATACTTCGCTACCATGCGATTTAACATTTCTAGCAACAACATGCTCATGAATTTAACAATGAAATGTTATACATGATAATTCATAGTAATGTATCCTATCACCTGCACCTAATTATTTAAAACATGATTATAAATAGACATAAATATACACAATGACATTTTGTTGTTGCCTAGTAACTTGATTTTTTACTAGAAAAACTCATTAATCATTTGACTTGACATCAAATATAAGCAACACCAGTGCTTTTAATTTTTGGCATACAAATTTAAGCATTCCTTTTTTTTTTTACCAAAAATTATTTTGATTTTCAATAGAAATATAAAATAATTTTGATGCTTTTAAAAAGTACTTTTTAAAAACATACTAAATCAAATTAAGTTCTCCTAATACCTAATAAGGTAATTTCATTTTAAGTACTTTAAATTAAGTACATAGTTCTCAGTGACTTTTTCTCATAAATTTACTTTAAACATAAAATATATTAGGAATAACTTAATAGATAAATATTCAATTTGTAAAACATCAACATCTGGTTTATACAGGAGTACAATAGGTGCCTTATATGACACAGTCATAGTTTAAATATACCTGTATGCAGAATGTTGTCCTTAATGTCACATAAACACCACATAAAAATTTTAAAAAAATTCTTCAAAAAATTAAATATATTTGTAAAAATTCTATTGTTTCTTTAAAGAACAGTTAACTATCTAATAACTTGCAACTTAAAAAAACTACCACACATCAAACAAAACTATACAACTTGTAAAACAATGTATTGCTCAATTACAATTTAGATTGACTTAGCAACAAAAGATTAATATGAAATAGTATAGCATAAAAAGTTTAAAAAATTATTCTTTTGGAAAACATTTAATTAAACAAATTTAGCTAGCAAAACACATTTTTATAAATTAAAAAAATAATAATTGTAAAAGCATGCTTTAGCAATGAATCCAATTACATGTGTAAATAAATTTTTAATGTACTTTATATTATTTCAAATGAGAAATAAAATATTTTAATGCATGTTAGTAATGTACCACAAACATAAAATAACTTTTTCAAATAAAATCTAAAATATAAAGTCACTAAAATTAATACATTCACAGTGTTATTTTGGCATACAAAATTAACATACTAACTTAAAAATGTCATAAATTACTTAAGAAATAATATTTTCAAATGTATTAAACAATAATTTATATAACAATTAAATATATCTTTAAAACTCAACAAGACACAAAATTAATTAAAAAAAAAAAAGCCATAAACTTATTTAAAAACATAAGAAGAAGAGAAATTTGTTAAAAAAATTTCTACTGAAATAACACTATGAGTGAAAGATTCAATAAAAGGCCGTAACATGAGTAGAAATCAAAGTTTAAAACATAATTTATAAATGAATGCTCACAATAATTAATATAGCACATATAAAAACAGATTACTCTAAGAATTTTTAAAAAGAAGAACTTGTAGTCAATTAAAGACATTACCTTTTATAAAAAAAAATATCCAATGTCTAAGTTAATTATATGAATTACCTTAGATAAATATTTTTTAAAAGAAAGGAAAAACATCGCAAATAAATAAATAAAAATTTGTGCACACAGCTGATAGATATATATATATATTTTAATTTTCAAATAGTTTAAGTAATATTTTGAATCTTTGCTAATTTGCATAATAATAAATTTGTAGCTAATTTTTAAAGAAATTTCCTTTTAAAAAATTATAAATTTATATACCCGTAACAAGAAACAAGCAGTTTCTTGTAAACATGGAAGTCAATGTATTTATAGGAATTTCAGATAATTTGGTATTATAGCGTAGTAATTTAAACAAATATCTTAATTGTAATTTTAAAAAAGTTCAATAAAAAAATATTCAACATGTAAACACCTTTGTATTCCATTAATTTAGAGGTTAAATTCATTACATTTGACTTAAAATTAGATTATTCACATGGATTACTTAAGAGTTTTATAATGCATTAAAAAGTTTGAAAATATATACAATCATAAATAAAATATCTTAAAATAAAATTTGTTATTAAATAAAAAACTTTGCATAAAGTAAAATAATTTTTAAGGAAAGATTCTCCCTAATGACTAACTTCTGGTTATAAAAATATTTTTAAAAGCAAGAAAGAGCATACATCAGTTTGGAAAATTATACAAGTAATAAATTACTATAGAGATCACATGCAATAACATTTAAAATAAAAATATAAATAAGAACTTGAATTGAGACTAGCTTGTTTTGTTTTAAAATGTTATACAATAATTTGTACTAAATACAATCTCACAAAACAAAAACAAAAGAACTAATAAACTTAATAATAACAATATGGTTAAAAACGAACAAATTTTTCATTATCTTCCCCGTTTTAAAAGCATAACTTTAAGGTATAATACAATTAAAAACCAAAAAATTTTTTTAATAGAATTTACACTCCACATTAACCAATAATCTTTATTAAAAACATTAATCATAAACTTTCAACAAACTTATCAAATAAAAATGAACAAAAAATTAAAATAAAATTTAGAAGAAAACAATACATTGTAAATATAAGAATGTCTTATAATAAGACAAAATATACAAAAAAATGAGGTATCTTATAAAACAACTAAACAAAATATAAATGCAAAAAATGTATTTCATAATATGAACTAAAACAACTTAGAAGAAATAAAACTATATATCTTATTATTTGAATATCTCATAAGATAGTTTAACATAATATAAAAACAAACAATTTCTTTCATAATTAGAATACTTTTCAATGTAAGTTAACATAATATAAAAGCAAATCACATATTTTTAAAATTGAATCACTTATGTTATGTATTCTACACCTAATATGAATACATTAATTCATAATGATTTTTGTATGTTTCAAACATTAGGATTTGTTAGACTTTTACTACATTAAGCAACAGTTGATGCAGTTCTGACTAGACATTCATTTTCATGGCTACAACTTAACAAATAAATTGAAGGCTTTCTTAATTGATAAAGTCATAGTTTTAAATACCTGTATTAAACATGCATTTATAAAATATGTTCACATACCAGTCTAACCTCCAAAAGAAAGAAAGAATTCACACATTCTTGAGTGCTTGTGCTAGTTAAGATGTGGCACAGATATTTATGTTCAATCGCACAAAAATGAACAAACCAGCAGTTTGCAAGAGTAAAGATGAAAAGTAACTAAAATACATTTTTTTAAACCAAAATTAAGTAACCAGATAAACTTTTAATAAGTATTTAAAGAAACAAAATATTAAGAAGTGTTTTTCGAAATCAACAAAATTGCAAATAAAGAATGAACAACTATATACAAAAATCAGATTCAAACAATGAGTTCAAAACCTATTTAAAACTTCGAATTGCATATTTCAGATGTCATAACAAGGGTTAAAAATTATTTCATGAATAAGGTGCATAAATGCACTTGAATCTATTTAAATGCATGCAAAACATCTTGAAGTGCACAAATAGAACCAAATAAAAACCATGACTAATACCAGTTTGGTAAATAAAACATAATAAAAATTAGCTTGACTAATTCAGAAAAAAAGGAAAACTAAAAAATTATCTACTGTAATCACAGGTTTTGCAACAAAAAAAATATATAATAAATAATACTGTAAAATAAATTATCACAATAATCACTGGCTTTTGCAAAAAAAATAATAATACTTTATGAAATAAAAAAAATTTATAGAAAGCAAATTTATACTGCAAATTATTAACGCCTAATTAAAAATAATTTTTATGCACTATTCAAATAAAATGCACACAATATGTAAATATAAATCGTGCTTCCTAACATTTTAAAATGTTATACACAACATTAGCTTGACTAGAATTTCTTATGAGAAAAAAACCGCTTATAAATGGAACAGAAATATTAAATAAAAGATCAATACTAAGCAAACAATTTTGATAAGTCAAAGAACCTTAAAAAAGATGTCTGCACATTGCAGAAATATATAATCACGGCAATAAATCTTGCCTTAAAATAGTCCAAATAAATAGAAACACAAAATGGTGCAAGTTGACACTTACAAAAGTTCATAAAAAAAATTTAAAATAAAACAATATGAAAACAAAAGAATAATTAACAAGCCAATCAACATTCTTAAATGCAATAGCAGCACCAAAGTAGAAAATTTTTTATGCACAACAAAAACATAAAATGCATAGTGCAAGTATTAAAAACTCTGCCTAATAATTTTTTAAGTAGATACAAACATAAAATTTAAAACATAATAAGTATATAAAAAAGTTATTTCTATCACTAGTCCTTAAATAAATAATCCTATCCAAAGATATTCTGAAATGATTAAATTCATAAGTGCATAAAGTGGAAAAAAACACAACATAAAAAATATAACAAGTAAAATTGCTACAAATCCAGCCATAACATTCTTTAAGTAAATAAAAAACAACTTTAAAATAAAAGTTTTCAAACAATAATTCTTGAATAAATAATCTCATACACAAAGATATACTGGAATAAAATAATTCATTCCAATGACTAGAAATGAGTTATAAACAAATATAAAATGCTTAAATGATTAAGTTAATAATATTGATGAATAAACATGAGTAATTTGAATCTTTCCTCTTGCCTCAAAATTAATAATAAACAAGATGCCTTCATAAAAGACAAAGGAGAATCGCATGCCTCAATACTCATATTGTCCTCCCATTTTATGACCACCAAGGTCCTGATCTTGCATCGGCGGAGCTTGTTGCTGCCCCATTTGGGGCAGCATAGCCGGTGGTTGAATCTGCTGGTGGAAACTTGTCTCCTTGTACACAAACCACAAGCTACAAATCCATAGCATACAATTGGCAAATCCAAAAATCTAAAAACGTAACAGTATTATGAATACAGTTAGTCAGCTATAAGTGATTTTTTTTAAAGATAAAAATACTTATATTGATTTTAATAGAATATTAATTTTAAAAAATATTGATATTAATTAAGAAAATAATATTAATTTCAAATTATTTAAACCAGATTTTCTTTTAAAAGATACTTCACAGACTATTTATAACAAGTTAAATTTTAGAAATTTAATTACATTTGAAATATTATTACAAATAAGTTATAACAGTACCTTTCAAACAATATTACAGCATTAAAGTATTGTCTAATATATGCAATGTGTATCATTCGCGTTTATTCAAAATAACATAGAAATGTATCATTACTAACTACTGAAAATAGGCTAAGAAAAATTCAAAATTCTTTTCACATATTATTTTTTTTTGTAAAACTTACGAAAAAAATTCAATAACTGCATTGAATTTTCACTTGGTGTTGATCTTAAATTTTTAATAATCCACAAATTGGTAAGATCTTTAAAAAGTCAATTCAAAACTGCCCTAATTCATTTCATAATCAGTAGTAATAAAACTTGGCAGATACAAACTTATTACACAGCAATATATTAACAATACATTTTAAAACCATGAAAATCAATAAAATCTTTAACAATCTCATATTGAAATGTTTTGAAAATGTTTAAATTAATTCTTTAAAAAAAATCAGTTGGTACGAATATTGATTTAAATTAGGAATGTAACGAATGTTTGGCCACTATTTGGTATTCGGCCTTTTTGTCTAACATTTCATTGGCCCAATGTTCAGCCAAATATTTGGCAAAATATTTTTCTGGAAAATCACTTTTTGGCAAAGTTTTGTTTGGAATTTGAATAGATTTGATTAAGAATAATCAAAAATTGTATTTTTTACTATACATTACAAGAAATAGTTATGTCACATACTTAAGTTCGGAAACTTGCAAATTCATGTTCTGAAAGACAAATCGAAAAGTGAAATCTGAAGAATTTAAACTAGATAAGTTCATACTGAACCATATGTTTTGAATGGCTAAATTTTTTCAATTGTATATATTCAGGCAAATCAATTTCGCCATTTTTTCAACACATTTTGTTTGAAGAATTAAAATTTTTTTGTTTTGTGTTTGCTGTTTTTTGTTTTTATTATAGTGCAGCATTTTAACGGGGCGTTTCTGATAGACTTATTCTTTTATTTTCGCTTTTTCCTGTAGGGCAAGATAGATAATAGTAACATAGAAAACTGCGATATTCTACGTTCAAATTATATTTTTAAAACTAAGAACAATTTTTTTCCGTTTCTCTTTTGCTTTTTTTTACTAATTTTTCCTTTTATCAGTGTTTTTATTATAACACAGCACTTTTTAAAGAGCTTTTCTAATGAACGTTATTCTTTTATAGTCACTTTTTTCTAAAAATACAGCAATGAGAAAAGTAAATTTGAAACTTTTAGAGTTAAATTTTTCATTTAAGAATCAAAACCGATTTTTGTTGTGGTTTATATTTAGCTTCTTCTTTCTCAAAAAAAAAAAACTTTTTTTTTATTTTTTATTTTTTTAACAAAGCAACAAGTTTCTATTAGACTTTGTTCTTTTTCTTTCACTTTTTCTTAAAAATACAGCAAATGGAAAACTGAGATGTTCAGTTTTACAAATTTTTTTGAGAATTAAGATCAATTTTTATTTTTTACATTTTCGCTTTTGCAAATAATCTTTTTTATGATAGTGTAGTTTTTTAGAAGCGTTTCTGACAGACTATATTTCTCTTATTGATACTTTTTTCCCCAGAAAACATTATTTTCAGCAAAGTTTTGTGTTAAGCATAAAGAGGATTTTTTTTCCTATTTCTTTCTTTTTTTCAACTTCACTTTATATATATAGCTGTAAATAAATTTTTTATTCATTTCAAATATTTCTAATGGAGACTAATATATATTTTTCCCTTTTATCTCCGACTAATAATATAGCTAAGTTTTGATTAATTTTTAATAATGACTAAACTTATTTGTGTACAAAAAGTAATATTTATTTATGATTTTTTTTAAAAAATGTTGCTATTCAGCCGCTGAATATTCAGTATTCAGCCAAATTGCTATTCAGTAAATCAAGCTGATTTAAATAAACAAATCCTGATATAAATGCAAAAAGTCTTAATTCAATAATAAATATAGAACAATTTCCAAGGCTGATTTACCCCCAACTATGGCCAAAATTATAAAAAAAAAAGTTTCCTTCTTTAATTTTATAACGAAAAGAGAAACTGATCTTTGTTAAGAAAACATCTAGTTTCAAGATAGGCGCAAAAAAATATAAGGAAATAAAAAAAAATCATTATTTTCTTGAATCAATAAGTAAGGTATTAAAAAATATGGGTAAAATAATTATTCACGTCACTGAAAATTAAAACCAAGTAACAGTATAGATAATTTTACAATCTTTTAATAATTTCTCATGATGTATCTAGGTAAAAACATTAATCTAAAAAAAAAATATGACAAGAAAATCTTTTTAGGGGAAAAATATATAGTTTATTCAAAGAAGGCAATATTCTCATCAGTGTTTGCTGAAATGGATAAAATGAAAAAACTAATCTCATATAAACTGCAATGATCCATGGATTGATGCCCTCAAATGCACTCCGATGTTACTCCTCCAACTATAGTTTGAATTATATTTATGATCTTTTGTTTACATCTCTTTCCGTGAGTGGGTGGTACTTTGTCACGAAGTAAAATTGTCCCCTGCACTTATAAATAGGAATTTGCAATTATTTTCATTTTTAAATTATATAATACTTCATTTTTGTGAAATATTTGTCCCTTTTCCTGAAATAAAGTTCAGATAAATACTGCCAGATGAACAGTTCTCACCCTGTTTTTAAGTAATAGTTCAAAGTTGCAACACAGTGTTTAGCTATACCATGCTGTGGCGAGGAGAAAAAAAAGTTAAAAAAACGATTATATGCTAAATGGCTGAAAAGATAATGAGAAAAAATCAGCATAAAGCATTAAAATTCAGAGTTAGGCATCATAATTTATAGTGCAGTGGTCTCGCTGTCAGTTTGGCAAATACAGCCAAAGAAAGAAACATATTCAAGTAATTAAAATAAATACTCACTCACTAATATAATAATAAGGCATCACAAAATAACAAAAAATATGCCTAGCTATACATAAAAAAGTATTAATTTTATTCCTCTAGTTCAAAAAACATAAACACAATGACAACAATCTAATAAAAACATCATGTACACTACAATGATGTTAATTGCCAGGTTTTTTAAAACTAAAAGCAGAAAGAAAATCCCAAGTGAGGTTACTAAGTCTGCGGAGAGAGAGTACACTGCCTTTTTATCTTGACTTGACAAAACATTGATGGAAAAAGCCAAAATGGCTGGTATGGGGAATGACTGTTCGCCCAATCAGTGTATTAGAAAGAAGTTAAATTTGAAAACTTCGACGAGAAAAGGATAAAATTATGGCCAAAAATAGGGTTTGCAGAGTATGTAACGTTAGTAAAAAAAGAATGTTCTCGAAGTTTCAGCTTTTCTACCGACAAAGGAAAGAATTACTTGAAGGTCACAGTTGGATCTGCCGGTACTAAATAGTTTGCAGAGATGCGAACAGCTAAGTTATAGTTAGTATTAAACAAGTAATGGGAGGATCCCCACATACAAAAGAAAACTTAAAGCGACACAGACAATTCCCACATGGAAATTTTGGGGTAATTCTAAACTTTTCAATTATCAAAATAACTTTAAGTATAACTTTAAGTCAACTATCATAATAACTTTTACTGTCAAGTCACAAAGTCCTCCATGTTCCCTTAACTAATCATACAACTGGGGGTACTGATCCAGCAGTTTCCTTGTCTTCTAAATTGTGTTCAAAATTACAAGACTATGGAGTTGAACGTACCGTAAACTCAAAATTGGATTGGCTGTTCAACGACGGTTATAAAAAATTTTTTTACAAAAAAGAACTAAAAAAAAGATTTTTTTTTATTTTATTGAGAAAAACATAAATGCCAGCTATTTATTACAGGCACAATAGAAGTAAAATTTAAAAAAAATAAATCTTACCAATGAAACATTCAGGGAGGCGAAATTCCCAAGAGTCACAGTGCGACATACTTGTACATCATTCAAGCAGATATCAAGATCGGGGAAAAGATTAGCTGGATTGGTGTAGTATTTCACATCAGAAACACCCTGAGCCCAGGCACAAGATCCCGCAAACCAAAATATGGAAAGAACTCCACTTGCAATGAAATCCTACAGAAAAAAAAACACTCATCAATTTAGTATGCTCGAAAGTTTCAATTTTACTCAAATGAAGAAAAACATTAGTCATTTCATGGCACGAACAAACTATATAAAAATCTTATTGAACATAAATTTTGTTTAAATAATTCAATTTTCTTCTTCAGTATCTATGTAATTCTTAAAAAAGACATTTTGTGGAGAGAACAAAAATTATGCCAATTAGAGAAGAACGTTTTCTTCTTCTTGACAGTTTTATCCATAGTTTCAGAAGTTGCATAAAGTATTCAAGACTTAAAAAAGTTCAAAAATTATAATGTCCACTTTGCATCCCAAGATAAACAGCAAACTCAAATTTCAATAACTTTGAAATTATTATACAACAATAAAAGGATAAAATAAAACAAATATTTATAGTAAAAATTGTTAGAATTTCATACATGATTAAATTAGATGCAGAAATTTCCAACAGACTAAATTTTTTCAAAAGATTGCTTTATTTGCAATACAGAAACCATTTGAAGAGTAATTCAAAGATCAGAGCAATCAGTTTCACCGTCAAAATATGAAAAGGGATTATGATGCTCTGAAGGAAGTCCCATATTCCATGGAACTCTTGTTTTTGGACCTGGAATAACCCAACGGAAAAAACGCAAAATTTTCAAACTTAGTTAAACACTTATTTTAGTTAACAACAGTAGGAATCTTTTGTAAATCATTAAAAAATTTCTTACAGCTTTCACTATAAACATACTATTTAATATTTTTAACGCTGATTGTTTTGGAATTATTTAACTTTAGATTTGGATATGCTTTCACAGGACTTCATGAATCTAGATTTTTCAAATCTGTATAATCACTGGCATATAAAATTATAAGAGATAGAATCTATGCTGATCAAACTTTTACATTCACTATTAAAAAAATTATTATTAATTAAGTCATGTTTATAAAACTATGTAATACATACGATCACTGGACATTGTGTAATTATTAGAATTAAATCAGTGTTTGTCAAGTTTAAATAATCACTGGTATAAAAAATTATTAGTAGTATTAGAATCTATTTTTATCAATCTTGCATAATCATAATAATTTGAAGCCATCAACAAAATGAAATAAAATAAGAAACGGAGTATAAGCAGATAGCTAACCGTACAGGATGATTATTAAAGTAGCAGTCTTTTAAAAATTTATTTACTAAACAGTAAACTTAATTGAGTCTTTTGCAGTAATTAGTCATTCCACATATGGACGGCAAATTAAATGTGAGTTTATTTTTATAATTCCGTTATTTATATTTCCAGAGTTCTCCCTAGGAATAAAAAAGGGCAAGGTGCTTCCTAGCAGAAAAGGTCACTTTGAATTTTGAAAGCACAATCACTTAGAAACTGTAAATTATACTATTTTATGAGTATATTTCAAAAAATAATTCTCTTTCATTATCAAAATGAGAGAAAATTTGTAGTTTATAAAAATAATTAAAGGCAGGCTAAAAGACAATCTCTGTATATAAATTTTTTTCAACAAAAGTACACTAAAAATTATTAATTGATAAACAACTTGAAATATCTTTTCTATAATTGAAATTGAAAATTATGAGAAAATGAACATTTAAAGGTGAATTTCTTTTCTCTTTTTTTTAAAGGGTATTTAATATAAAAATAATTTTAAAATTTAAAAACACTTAAAACATTTTTTAATATACCAAGCTCTGAAAAAAAATTCATTAAAAATAAAAATTAAAAACTAGTTTGTTTGCAGGCAGATAAATAAGGGTTTTCCCATATACATAAAGAATGAAATTCCATTAACTTACCACAACAGGGGTCATGGGATTGGTAGAATACAGGCGGTGCATGAAAACATAAATGAAGATTATGCCAGTTGTATACAAGAGGGTCAAAACTCCAGATGCAACAAAAAACTGAGCATTGCTCGAAAAATCAAATGGAAAAGCATAAGACTTGAAAGTAATATTATTATCTAACTTTCCACACTTCTCAGGAACACGAAGTTCAGCTTTTCCTAATCTGAAATAACAAAGCAATTAGAGTACAGTAGTTTATTTTTAATCATTCCTCAGTTTAATCAATCCAAACCTCAACTTAAAATTTATTTCAAAAATGACTTGCTCAGTGATTCCATTAGACTTTGGAAATTGCATATCCTTAGGACCGAGGACTTCCATATTTCTAGGTCTTTTTTTTAAATTATTTATTCAAAAGAGATTTTTATTTAACATTCTCAAACTTTTACCAAACTCTTAATCAAATATTATTATCAATTTTAATTAAAAGCCTTGACTGTTCAAATATAAAACTGCTTGTTTATAAAATTCTCTGTTTTGTCTATCGAGAGACAGAATAATGATAAAATGTGTAAATTAATAGATGGATGAAAAGGTGGAGAATCAATATTTTAAATAGGGAATCCCACTTTTAGCAAAAAATGACCCAGTTTCATAAGTCCTGGATCCTAAGGATCTGTAATTTCTAAAGTCTAAGAAGATCACTGATTATTCACATTGATGATGCCTTATTAATTGATAGACAAAACAAAGAATTTCAAATAAAGAAGTGTTATATTCGAAATATCAAGGCTTCTAATTTGGTCAATTCAAAAACTTGCATCAAGGAAAAGTCTAAGTAAATTGATCAACCTAATTTGATACTAAGTATTATTCTAGTTTTTTCCTTTAGCAATTAATAACAAAGAATTTTTTATCTATATTTAAAACTTGGTTCGAATTTTGCCATCATAAATCTGCTGACAAGCTTTTTTCCCCTGCGCTTAAGAGTTAAATATACCAAAAGACATGCCATGACTTATTTTTCACATCTTCTCTACAATTTTTTGTGTATTTGATTGGTTACAGTGCATAAGTGGAATCACTGCTTAACCTTTAGATTGTTAATTATAGAAAGCTAATTCTAGGTGGTGCAAGGATTAAAACTCATTATGAACTTAGGAATTACTAACAACAATTTTTATTTTTGTGTCTAAGCTTAAAGAACAAGCCATTGTATACCATCATAGTACTTTTACTGTTTACAATATGACTTGTACCATATTTAATTGAGTTGAAAACATAAAAAACTGAAGATAACACTTAAAACATAGCAACGCTTACACTTTATGTCATATAAATTTTCTTAAATTGAGTCTTGGTTTGCAAATTCTTTAGAATTTATAAAATGTAAAAAATCTTACGAATGGTAAAATTACATGTATATTTAAAAACAATCTCATGCATACCTTGTAAACATAAGCTCAGAGACTCTACACCTTAAATGTTTAAATTTCTGCTCTGGTTTTAGATTCTTATTATTGTTTAGACACAAGTGAACTTTTGTTTTAAAACTACATGCCTTTTTTTTCCCTTTTATTTAACATCAGCAAGATTTACCATATCCTCAGAAAAAGAGGTTTTAGTACCTAAGGATAAGTTTTTCCCATGACAGTTAGTATTCTCTATATTAAAATTTATGTCACATATTTTTTTTACTATCAGAAACCTCATATATGTTTATGTAACAGCATAAATATCTTTGTAAAATCTAATATAAATTTCATGCTTCAAAATTAAAGACATCTTCCTCTCTTATGTAATTTTCTCTTCCTCAGAGAGTCAAACAGTTTAAACTGGTTTTTGACATTTGTAGAGCTTAGTGGAAGAACTGACTAAGTGACATTTTTAAGAAAAACTCAGATTAGTCTTATTTAAATATATAACATTCATTTATAATGCTAAATATATATATATTCTAAAAATACAATGGAAGAACCAGCAAAGAGACATTATTTGAGTATTCTATAGTTAATAAACAACCTTAGAAAATCACTTGCTTGGCATCGAACGCTAAGACGTGGGGGTAAAAACTGGCAAAAGAGAAAAACTTGAAATAGCATAATTTCCAAACATTAAGGAGGAATTTATATATTTTACGAATCAATAATTGAAAAAAAAACAAGAAAAAATAACCCTCAAATTGCTTCAACATTCCCTGGTTCACATTAGTTCATGTTTCAGACTCAATGCACTGGTAGTAGGTAAATGTAATCTTTTTCCCTAAGCAGAGTCCCATTGAAAATAAATATTACTCTGTGCTTATGCAACTTTTTCAGTTTATTCCTATTGTTACTAGTTGAATACTCATCCTTCTTGCTGGTTGAAATAAAACAAATTTTCAATAAATCGGTAAGAATCATGCACACATTGAAAGAGATACACAGACACAATCAATTATAACTTAAAAAATACCAGTTTTCTTATTTACTGCCATTTGTTGCTTTTTCTAATGACTTTACGCTATTAAGTTAAGTAAAACAAGATTTCAGAAGTTTGTTCTCTCAAAATAAAGATTCACAACCAGTATCATTTGGCATAATTCTACTGCCCGACACCAACTCCTGATAGCAAAAAATTACCATAATCAACAATTTTCTCTGGTACTTGTCAGATTCGGTAAACTGTAAAAAACCTATTTCCTCAGTACTTATAGTAGGAATTGTGAAACATATATTAATAAGTATAGTACATATTAAAACAGCATCAAATAACACAACATCAGTAATACCTTTTACCAAGCACTTTTTTTTCTGATCATTTCTTTTAAATTGAAAATAAGAAAGGGCTCATCTTTAAAATTGATGCACACACTTGAAACATTGAGTGTTAAATCTGGAATGATAAGCGTGCTTAGATATTTGACAAAATTAAAAGCAGAGCCGTGGTAGCTCAAGGGTTAGACCATTCGCCTTCCAATAAGGTGAACTGGGTTCGAATCCCAACAATGGTTGGTCGATACTAATTTTTCACCCGGCGCGATATAACCACAAAACTGCCATAAAATATCTCCAAACTGAGCAACTGACCCCAGTTGCTCAGTGGTAGGTGGATCATGGGCTAGAGTCCACTTGCTGACAGGCTAACTGTGGAAGTTTTTGTGGATTTCCTCTCCATATAACGCAAATGCGGATTAGTTCCATGAAAAAAAAAGTCCCCCACAAAATCAAATTTTTGACAATACTTGATCCAGAAGTTCTCTTGTCTTCTGGATTGAGTTAAAAATTACAAGGCTATGAAATTGAACATTATTAGTTGTAAACCCAAAATTTGGTTAGCTGTCTAACGACGATTATAAAATAAAACAAAAAACTAATGGCAATTTTTTCATAAAAAGCAGCTACATATGAAAAAATCACAAAGATCACTTTATTTTGCTCCCTGCCAGCAGAGATTGCTATATCCTGATGCTAATTATACTTTGGTAGAAACATATCAGAATTCCACTGGCAACAGCTAACTACGAGACGTTATCATGGTTTTTACCTCCATTTCGCGCAAATGCTGATTAATTTCTCTTCAAAGAATTCCTCTTGAAGGTGAATAGAACCTTGTTTCTTAAACAGATGTTTTCCTGTCTTCTAGTTTCAAGGCTAAGAAGTTAGAAATACAAAAAGTCGCAGATCCACAGAGTGGATTGGTATTCAACGGCGGAAATTTGTGAAGTGGTTACATAAATTATAAAGAAAAATTGAAGTCACATAATTTAATCATAATCGAGTAGTTTACCACGATTAAAAAAATACCCATAACAGATTTTTAAACATTTTTATAAATTAAAACGTGTCTTTTTTGCATAAAACTGTACATTTCAAATAATTTACTTATTTCAACAACTATACCTAGATATTTCTTTATTAAAAGCAATAAAAGTAATTTTATTTAATTTCAAAAATACCTTAAGATGTAACAAAATGACTGAACGTTTCGAACACTTATCAGCACATTTTAAAAGAATGCTTTTTTTAAGATCAAAAGTTACCGAATCCTTGCCAATTAAAGCGACTAACACCAGTAAAACACCTACACAAAAGTTGAGCTCACATTGCCTCTGAATTGCTTTTGATAGATTTTTGGACTAGCAAGTCTAGATAAAATTTTGTGTCAATTTGTTCCGAATTAAGGTTGCTAAAATTTTATTTTATGAAAATAAGCCTAAATGTATGTATATTTATTTTATCTTTTCAAACAAAAGTATATTCGATGAAAAACACAAAAAATTCTCTGTGAAGAAAAACAAATGTTACCCAAAAAGTCATGACTTCAAATAAAAACTTAATCGCTAATTGACTCAAATTCACTAAAATGTAGGCGGTTCTTCTACTAAGCTTTTCATCTGCCATGTCAAAAAAGCTAATAAGATTAAAAAAACAGGAACTAAGTGGCTGCTCAAAAATTAAGCTTAAGACCAAAGGGGGAAGTAAGCTTGTGATTTGCTTATTTTTGCTGACAAGAGGAAATAGGGGTATGAGCACACTTCATGACACATATATTCTTTTAATTCTATTTTTTAAATGCAAAAAAGTAACAAAAAAAATGATATTTTGAGAATTGTCAAATTTGAAATAGTAGTGAAATTTAAAGGAAAACATTTCTTCAAATAGTACTTACAAAGGTCAAGAATTTTGGTTACAGAAAGAAAATACCTTATTAGAAGAAAAACAGAAGACATTCGGAAAATGAGTGTACAGTTAAATATGTTCAAAGCATGGAGGATGCCAAGAGGACAGATGAAGAAGAAGTACCCACAGATTCATTTCATAATGAATAGAAAAAATCATAAAAGAAGTATTGTCATAAAAGATATGGCTGTAAAAATCTTGGACATTATATAATAAGGTACTTATGGGTTAAATAAATTTATATTTCAATTGTTCAGTTTAAACTATGCTAAACTAAAAAAAAATTATACTCGAAATTTCATAAAACAAATTAAATCGTAATATTTATTTAATGCAAAGTTTATTTTTCCTTTCTAGCTTAATCCTAAAATTTAGATTAGATTAAATTTGATTAGAAAGAGTTAAAATAAAAGAGTTTTTCTTAGGAGTTATACTTAGTTGTTATTAATAACTTAAGCGTGGAAGGAGATTTGTGACTTGCTTACCTTTGGTGACAAGAGAGTGTTCAAAATTGTCAAAAACATGCTTACGCAATATTTGAATGCCCTCTAAGGCTTATTTTAGCCATAGCAAATATTAACACTTTAGGGCAAGTAAAATTTTTGAAAAGACACAAATGAAGTTTCCAGAACTGATTTATATTTTAGTTACACAATCCCGAACATTAGGTATAAAAAAGTGTGGCATTAGATAACTCACTTAAATGGGTAGCCAAATTTGTACTGAACATCCTTTTCAAATTCAGGACATTTTATTTCAATAGTTGTTACTGTCTCAAAACCAGCAGTTGTTGCAAATGCAAATATTGACATAACCTAAAAAATATATTAATAATAAATTACCAATGAATTCATGCAAAACTAGAACTAAAAACACATTAAGAAATAGATTTTTGAAACAAGTTTATTAATACACTATTATTATACTTATTAATACAAGTTAAGAAAACAAAGAGAGTTTAGTTTAGTTCTATTATATTTATTAGATCTAATTAAAAACAAATTAATTTAGCAAGCAAATTTCATTAAAAAATATGTGCAGTCAAAAAAAGCTTAACATACAGAGAGCCTCAATCGATCGTTACTCAAAGGACTATTCATTATGAACAATAAATGTGAGAAAATTATAAATGAGTGTCAACTTAAAATGTAGGTTTTATACAAGCTAATTATCAATGCGCTTAGAAAAGAAATTAATTTTAAGGTGTTTAGTTCATCATATTAAGAGATAAACAAGTTAGCAGCTGTTGCTATTATCAACTTCAATAAAAAAAACTTCATTTTTCTAAAAAAGTAATGTGATTTAGGATTTTTGAAAATCACAAACTAGCAGCCCTTATCACTTACTTTTAATAAGTCATAAGTGTTGCTTTCACTTATTGAAAATAAAAGTGTGTTGTAACTCTGCTGCAATATAGTGTACATGTCTGCTGTAAAATGTAGTGTAATTCTGCTATTTGCAGCCTCTAACTGTCAAACTTACCTACTTGCTTTTCTACACAACAAGCCAGTTTTCCTACATATTTTTTAATGTTGATAATGTGCTTTAAATAATTTTTTAAATATTACATACATTTTTATGAAGTAAAATGGCAAATTTTGTACAGGAGTACTGCATGTGGATAGATCACAAGTTATACTTGCTTCTAAATCATAACTAAAGAAATCAAAATATTTCTGATTAGGTTTTTCAAAATTTGTTCAAGTTCATTAGTTTTCCTTTTAATTTGTAATAATATGACTTTAGTTATACAACTATATTTATTATTTTGTTTTATTTGTTGCATTATTAAAGTGACTGTTATAATTGATAGTTAAATAAATATGTTCACATGAAATTAATATAAATTTATAGATTTGAGAAAAAACCTTTCTCGTTATTTGTGAAATCATTTCAGGTTGGAAATACTTATCAAAGTATAGTTCAATAAGCTATTTTCACAGCTTTTATATTATATATTTTAAGGAAAGAATGAGAATAAAATTTTTTAGAATTTCTAAAAGAAAAAATAAATACTTATTTCATAAATATTTTTTGAAATGTTCATATTCTAATTACTTTTCCCATTATTCTTATTCGCCTCTTTGAAGTTGTTTTCTATATAATACATTCTTGTAACAAATTAATTTAAATGTGCTGCCATCTGCTTATAGTTTAAAGAAGCATCATTCGGAATAAAGTGAAAATACGGTTGAATTAAAAGTTCATCATTAAAGAATTAAAAAAAATTTTTATTGAGATTTCAAAAAGAGGTATTGACCAGGGAATATATTAATTACATTCTCATATTATTAATAATAATTATCACATAATGAGAGCAAATTTATACTTTGTTGGCCATAATGTATTAGCTAACTTTAAAAGTATCTTTTCCTTCACACATACTAATGAGGAAAAAATTCTCTTTCAATTATCGTCTTGCAAATAGCTTGGACATGTCTTTCCATTAGGTATATTTCTGTCTTCTCTTGTAGAATAGAACAAAATTGGGAATTCAATTGGCTTCATATCATATTTAGTTCTCTAGAATCACCATTTCATCCAAAATTGAGGATTCTAGGTAGTAGGTACTGGCTGGGGAAAAAAACCGGTAGGGTTGCTTGCCAAGAAACAGTTTCCAGGAGGTTCATGGTGCTGAAATAGAAATTCCTGCTTCAAATGATGCCATTTCTTGATGGAACTTCAGGGACCTCATGGTAAGGTACCTGTGTCTTAATCAATGAGGCATCACAGCTCACAAATATGTAGTTTTAAAAGAATATGAAGATCAAAAATCAGGAAGTTTAATATCCTGTTATAAAAAAATAAAAGCTAAGCATGCAAATTTTAAAGTACATTCTAAAAGTAAAACCATAAAAAAGTAGATTCTGATAATTTTAAAAAAATGTTTGGAAACCCTGATCAATAGTGGCATACACAAAATGGTAATGGCTCTGAAGCATACATAATACTGCATTTATTATCCATAATAATACGCCAAAGTGGGCAACTTTTTTTCCATTAAGTTTAAGCAAGGGACTTAGATTCACAATGGAATTTAATACAGTAATTTAAAAATATGCTAACAACATATAAAATATAAATTCCCCTGATCCATTTTATTTTTCATTACTCTAAATATATTATAGTGTTAAAAAAGAAAGTGACACAATGAGAAAATTTCATAAACCAAGTTATTATTTTTAGAAAAAAAATATGCAAAATTAAAAAAAAAGAAAGAAGAAAATCATGAAATTTTAATAATCGATGTATCAAACACTTTTACATTGATTAAACAATAAAAAACTTAGGAAACTTACTAGTTGAATGATTCGAATGAATCCACGAGGCTCAATTAAAACTCTCAAATTTAAATCCATATCAAACAGCACTGCAAAAAATAGAAATTTTACAAATTTATATTTCATGTAAAAGTAATACATACCATTTAAAATAAGTTTGTTTATATAATTGTCAAATAAAGTATTAGTTTTTTATTAATTTTTTTATTTTATTAACACTTTTAAGCTATTCAGCAACTATAATAACAACTATGGGGGATAAATGAAATGCTTAGAAATTTAGCTATCTCAGAAAAAAAGGTTATTGTTCAAAATTACTGTTTTTTGGTTTAAAATGAATATGAAAATTCACTTTGAGCTCCAAGCTAGTATAGTATGAACTTTTCTAGCTGTAAGAATTTTTTTTAAACTTTAGACAAAATTAAATAAAATTTCAGCAAATTATGGTTCAATTATTTTAAACATAACAGGAATATTTAATAAACATAATAAAATAGTTTTTAAAATTTGTCTACCTCTTTAAAATAAGAGGGAACAAAATCTCTATTTTTAGTAAAATTCAATAACTAACATAGTGAATAATTATTACATTTATACAATAAACAATTTTGAAGAAAACACAGTAAAAGTGATGCTGGCAAGTTACCCACAGCACAACTCATGTTTTAATCTTTTTTCACATTTCCTCTTATTTTTTAAAAAAATGTCGTTTTTAATCATTTAATTTTGCACATGATATATATAATTTGATAGCACAGTAACAGATTATATTGAAAATAACAAAAGATTAGTATTCAGTAAAATATGATTACAATTCAGTAAAAAACTAATAATTAAATTTAATTTTGTGAAGATCTTTATCCTGCTCCGAAACTAATGTAAAATTTGACTTTCGAATCAAAATTGGATAAATAAATTCATTTGGATTGGACAAATGTTAAAAATAATTGATTATTATTGTTATAAAAAAGTACATTATGAAAATTTTACCCATAAAACATTAAAAAAAAAATAACCTATGATACGTCTGATCAAATGAAAATTTCTTTTCATAACAATATTTAGTTTCGCTTTAACATTTTCATAATTTGGCATTTTAAGAATGATGAACAATTTCATACAAAGGGCATTTTTATTATTTTTGACCTTCAACGAAAAAACAAAATAAAATTCAAAATAAATTTGCATAGTACAGTTTTCTAGAGCAAAATTTTAAAAAAAGCGATTATTTCATTATCATATATTCTTCTTTGGAACATAATATAGGAATTTTCATTGTAGTATCAGCAAAAATCAGCTGTGATTACCTATAGTTTAGTAAAAGATCAAAAAATCACAGAAGATTAAGTCAGAATTAAACTGTATTCAATGATGCTCAGGTAAATTCGTTTGTTATTATTTTTCTTAGCTGAACTTTAGGAATTTTTCATTGAAAAAATCGCAAATATTTTGAAAAAAAATTTACAAATCGACCTATATTTGCGGTAGTTTCGTTATTCCGTGTTTTGCGGATCGATAACGCATTTGTTGCCAAATAACAATTTCTTCTGAATAAGTTCTAATCATATTAAGCAGGGTGGCCGAGAAAATTCTTAAAGGTTCTTTTCTCACTCTTGCAACTTCATAAACGATCGAATACGCCATCTGGGGAGAAGACCGGTTCCATGACTTTGGCCCTGTCCTCCCCTCCTCTTTTCAGTTCTATAGGAATTGTGGGGAGAGTAGTTTTTCAGTAGTTAGTCACATTTAATTGTTAAAAATGTTTTTGTTTTTTTTAATTTCCATGACGAAGGACATTTTTTAAATTTTCTTTTAGAGCTATGTTTAATGTAGTTTTCAGTTCCATATTGTTTCCTAGCTTAAAAGATTCTAATCTTTTTAAGGATCAAAATAGAAACTAATGAACTTCCTTCTTCTATGACTCTTCACTCGCTGACGGTGAAAGCATGCGAAGTGCAGCTACAGGTAGAGAGCTCTACTCTACGCCACCTGTAGCCCATTTCGTTCACCAATTTTGATCACCCGGTGTGCATTTGTGTTATCAAGGCTGTTTTATCTTCAAGACTATTTTTTTTTTTAACAGACGATCTTTTTTGTTTAACTTTATTTATTTGCATTTTTAAATTTTACATATTTCAAATAATAGAAATTTTTTGTGTAGAATCTCTATTAATTGTAAATCCGGTGGAGAAGGTATACATTGTTTTCCGTTACTATGACAGCCTTTTGTTTTCGAGCAATCACAGCATATGTGACATTAGAATCATTACACTTAGCTTATTTTTTTAATGGTAGGTTAATTTCAACCTTAATTCAAAAAAATTAATAACGTTATTAATCTTAATAAAATACAAAATTAAATAAAAATTGGAAGAAAAATAGCCTTTCTCTTATTTCATTCCACTACAGCCATTTTTACTTTTATCTCCTTCCATATATCTCTGATATTAAGTGAATCTTTAATATTATTTTTTAATATAACAATAACTGAAAAAAACTATGATTATGAATGTAAGATATCATCTTTTAAACTAATCAATTTTTACAGCAACAATCAAAATTTGAACAAAATATCATACGTTCAAGGGCTTCTAAGATACTTAAATTGAAGAAGTTTTTCTTTTAAACTTTCATTTTTGCGGGAGGTTTTCAACTGATCTTTTTCGTATTTTAAATTTTGTTTAATGTGATGTAAGCATCTTCCAAATCTTAAATTAGAATTTTTCCGGTATCCGATTAATATAAAATCCAACAAAAAGTATTAACAAATAAATATTTATAACATTATTTTGGTGATGCTATTTTTTATGCTCTCATACTGTTTCGTGTTTCTTTACTGTCATAACTTACTTAACACAAGCTAATCAATTTTTAAGCCATTTATGAGATCCTGGCAGAAGTCAACTCTACCACCAGCACGACAAATACAACTGAATAAAAGAGGGGGCTAAATAAAATATGGCCATTTCATTATTTAGGAAGGCAAGAAAATATGAGACTTTCATAAGCTTTTTAAGAATAGAAAACTTTTATTAAAATTCAAAGCTTCTGACACAGAGCATCAAATAATCGAAAATATCTATGTTAATAAAGAAACATTCAATAATAAAATTTACTTTATGCGTATTATATAAAATAAATCTTATAAAGCTTTTTTATTAAGGTCTAGAACAGCATTTTTAATGCAGTACAAATAAAGATCGAATGCAGATAATCAAAGATAATACTCTGTTTGTAAAACTTTAGAATGCAATCATATTTTTATAGTAGTATCTAAAAATAAAAAGAAAGAGGTTCGTATAGCTAAAGAGAAGTATTAGCATTCTACTTTTTCTCCCTGAAAAGTTTTTGAAGTCAAACAAAATAACAAAAAAGGTGGTTAGTCACTCTCTCAATGCGCTTTGTCATCAGCGCCATCTACACGTAAGATAACAGTTAGCAGCATGTGAATGATATTGAATGTTATCTTTGTTTCATTTTCGAAAGTCGTTTTCCTAATGTGAGTTGAATTTGGCAACGAGAGCTCATGCATTCTCGGAATGCTTTGAATTCTTTTGTGTTGTTAATACTCTCCTTGTGGTAGTGTTTGTGTGAAAATTTAATGACAAGTTAAAGAATTTAATTTAATAAAACGAGCAGATAGTGCTTATTATCTTAGTTTTGCTTTGAAAATGCCCCCAAATTCGTTTAATAGGCCGCCAGCTGTTCGAGCTATCAGTGAATCTGAAATATTCAGTAAACGTAGTGCAATAAGGACAGACTACATTCTTCAAAATTTATACAAACATTTGATAAAGGATGTGTGCTGTTTTGAAGCTATATGTCCTGCTAATAAAAACGAAGAAGAATTGTTCACTGAACTGAAGAAAATTTTGGATGATTTTAAATTTCGCAATGGTTCAAAAATCGATATACTTTGTTCCCAACTTGTCATTTCAATGGACACGTTAGGTTCAGCGCTATATGGGGTTTCCAACGAATTATTTGTGGAAGGTTATACTTGGAGTAGAATTATTGCATTCTTTGTTTTTGTCTCAATACTAACTGTTCAATGCGTTGAAAATAATCTTTCAGAAAATGTGGTGGATGTAATGTATGAGAATTTCTGTCGATTAGTTAAAGAAAATTTAAAGCCTTGGATAGATGACCATGGTGGTTGGGTAGGTAGTTTCCTCTATTTTAGTAATATGTACGAAGTTCTGATTTATTAAAATCATTTTGTTTGTACATGTTACATTTATGTTGTGTAGTATTGTTATAGCTTTTGCTGGTTCTGGAATGGACATCCAAGATTGTAGTATAACATCTTAGGGGGGATTTCCGTGAAAATGTGTAAAACTGAAATTTTAATAAATGCTGACACTTTTAGCCTCCCTCTGGAAATTTTTAAGTATGTGGTTTTTCCGAGGTTGTGGTTGATTTTATCATAAGATACTAAAATCACATTAAGATAACTAAAGCTATAAAATATTTCAATCACATTGAACATTTATATTTTGTCAGTTTATCTGAATTTTATGTGAAATATATTGAAATTTTCAATTTCTTTTGAAATGCAATATGACTGAACTTATATTTTGTTTCAAATGAAATTATTCTTTGGGGGATGGTATATTTTACCAATGAGTAATTCTAAACTCTTGCTACTAGAGTAAATTTTTGATTAAGCCTTTTTTTTTAGTTTGATTAGGTACTATTTCGCATGAGAAGTTATATCAATTTTTTCTTAATTGCTAGTCATATTAGAATAAATAAGATTCTATGAAATTACTTAAGTAATTCCTTTTTTTTATAGTGCATTTAAAGAAAACTTACTATTTTACATAATATTAGTTGTATAATAAGATACTAATTACTATAGTAGTTATTCTATTGGGTATATTCCTTAAAGTATAAATTGCACAAGGGGGAATTAAAGCATTTATTAGTAGCTTAATAATTTTTAATATGATTATTTAGAAAGAAGCTTCTTTGGTAGATTGTTGTGTGATAGAATGGTTGTACAGTAAAATATACTTGGGCTGATTTGTTAAGTATCTTGACCTATTTTTTGCACCTAGGTCTGATGGTCTAAATAAGTATCCTCATATTTATGAAAGATGTTGAATGATCCTTATTTAAAGTTAATTAGGGTTTGGCCAAAATTAATTACACTGTTTTGTTTGGAAAAACGTAGTAGAAATAACAAATCTGTAAATTTTATTAGTTTTTTACTTTCTTTAAATGTATTTTTCTGTTATAGGAAGGTTTCTTAAGTTTGAAAGATGATAGACCTGTTGGCTGGGCCAATAACATTTGGCGAAATACATATGCTGCAGTCACAAATTTAGTGCACCTCGCTAATTTCCCTGCTTAATTGTGATATGAACTGAAATTATCATTTCTTCAAATAAATACTAGCATCACTGATGTGTAATTATTTCTTTAAAAGATTCATTAAATAAGTACAGATGTACATTTTTGTTGCAACCTGGAATTGTGTAGATATTCAAATTTGTTTTATGAGAAAGAATTGAAGCTTTTCTACTAATTATATTTTTCTGAAGCTCATATGTTTTTTCTTTTATAAAATTATTTCAAAACAATGGTTAAAAAATTGTTTTGTCGCCTAGTGTAAAAAAGTATTGTTTTCATTCACTTATTATCATAACCTAAAGTAAGAGTGTGTGCTGTTTGTTTTTTGAAAACTAAAATAATTTAGTTGTAATCTTATTCTTGAGGAGAAAGTATAAACTATTAATTTAAAATTGGCAATTAATGTAACAAAATTGATAATAGCTTCGTATTAAAGTTTTTTTTTATTACTTTTATGTAGTCAAATTATAAAATAAAATTTTTTCTATTACTTTAGTCTAAAGTTTGAATATGTAGTTTATTGATAAAATAATATTGATTGTATTATTTTGTTTGAGGATATATGAACCGCAAATTTTTAAGTTTTAATATCTTTATTTAATAATATGGTTCATAGGTGTGGATGACCTTTTTATGCAATGTATGAGAATTGTCAAATTATTTATGTAGAAGTTTTTTTCATATTGCTACAGTCAGTTTGAGTATGTAGTTCGATTAAAAAATGAAATTGTCTTTTATGAAAATATAAGTCAAATCAAGTGATATCATCGATCTGTTTTTTTCCCTTCTAATTATGCCATAGTAATAATTAATTTCTTTTGTATTGTAGAATTTTCTTTGGTTATTTTAGGTTGTCAAATTACTTCAAATATTTTATTTTGCATTATTATAATCCGACATGTGTTTTCTTTGAGTTTACTTGTTTCTAGTTTAATATTTCTTTTAAAAAGCCACGTTTTTAGTTTTTCTGTCATAAACTGTTTTGTTTTTAGTTTTGTTTCTGATAACATCAAAATATAATTCAAACATTGCATTTAATATTACTTGATAAAGACAGATTTACAAGGAGCTTAATATTGTAGTTAAATGTAGTTATTTTTATATTATACTATTAAGAGTAACTTTCCACTGTTAAACATTAGTAATTTCAGTAATAATGCAAATTTTGTGTCATATTGTAAATGTTCTAATCACATCTATGCCATAGATATCTGCCTTTATTGTAAATTGCTGTATAATATGTGACATATTTCTATTTAGCTGGTTTTAGAATTTAAATGTCATTCTATTAAATACATTTACTGTGATAAAATAATTTAAAATCTATATATGTAAAGGATAAGTCAAATGCACACTAATTGTATATATTAAGAAACATGTTATTACATTGCTTATTCACAATACTTAAAATTTTAAAAAGCATTTAATAAGAGCAATTTTATATTTAATATAACAGGTTCCTTTTTGAAAAAAAAAATTTTTTTTTTTATATATATGTAAAGCCATGTTTCAGTTATAAGTAAAGCTCGTGCCTTGAATAGATTTTTTTGATAAGCCTAACATTTTTCTTTAAAGCATCCTATGTTAGTTAATTTAAATTTTCTTCAGTAATTATATTTCCTTTATACTTATGTGGCTGTGTAAAAATGTTAAGTCTCTTGTAATGGACAAATTTATGGGAATCCATAAGCTCTTCTTGCAAATGTTTAACATGTATCAATAAAGACTATTTTTTCTATAAGTTTGACCTTAGTTAGCATTTTATTCCATTAGTTGAAATTCCTATTTTACATAATTTAATGTCTTTCCTTAAATCAAATTTTCAGTAAGCATTTAAAATATTGTTAGATGTTTATATTTGCTTCAAAATGATTGAAGTGTGAAAAGGGCTATATTATTATCTTAACTTAATACTGTTAATTTAAAGTATGGTATATAAAAAAAAAGGCGGTTTGGGGGGAGATAAACTCAATTCTACTTAGCGATATAAGTTTTATGTGATAAGTTATCTTTCTGTTCCTAAAAAATATGTACCTCTACTCGCTGATAGTATGAAAGCATAGTTGATTTATTTAAGTGATATTAAACAAAATTTTTAGATGGGGAAGTGCACATTATACAACAAATCTTCATAGTACTGGTAAATTTTTAATACGAAGCATATTAAAAATTTACCAGTTATTTTAGAATTTGTCATTTTAGTTAAATTGTAACATTAAAAAAGTTTTTCTTTTCTTAGGATAAACATGAACCTTAGCTAATTATAAAAGCTGAACCCATTAGCTACTTATAAAAGCCACTTTTGAATTTTTTTAAAAATCCATTATAACTCTTTAACTGTTCTGGAATACTAAAATTGTATTTAGTTTGTTTTTACAATAGAACAATGAGTGTTATTTCACGTGTTTTAAAAAGTAAAAAGTGTCTTTTATAAGTAGCTAATGGGTTTAGCTTTTATAATTAGCTAAGGTGCATGTTTATCCTGAGAAGGAAATTTTTTTAAAAACTAAAATGACAAATTCTTCTTTATTTCTAACCAAAAATTAATTGAAAAATTTTATCCTCCTTTGTGGCCTACCGTGTTGTCAAATTTAGGTTTTTATGTGCAGAAAAAGTTCGTTTTATAAGAGTTGTTCCCAATAGTAGATGCAATTGTCTTTGTAAGTAATTTCAAACATTTAGTCTAAATACTCAATTAATTAAAAATTTGTTACAATTTTTAGAGCTTTTCATAACTCAGTAGTCTTAGGCACATTAAACTTAGATCCAATCCTTCTCGTTTCCTTTCAAAATGGCCAGATTCAGTTTCGTCTTCTGTTTCTTGTGCCCATGATATTTCTGGGTTGGAGTGTCAAAAATAAGTAATTCTTATCTCTTGAATCTTGTTTATTTTTCAATTTACGCTAGATGAAAGAATCAGACTATTTATTAATGTGTTAAAAGCAGGGTTCGCCAAGTGGGTGCACTTTGAAAAAACCCGCCCGGGTTTTATTGGGTGGGCCCACCTTGAAAAAACCCACTTGGTGAGTTTTTTCACAAAGTGGTTTTTTAAAAAAAGTATCTCCTAATTCTATCATAGGACACATCGTGGAAGTTTACAAATATTTTAGAAATGTGCATCAAGCACATGGATGGGCAAATGAAAAAAACTGCTTGATGCCCCAATTACCAAATGATACTAAGTGGAGTTCATATTGTGACCACATAAACACTTATACCAATAATTACCATAAATATCAAGAGATTGCTCTTGAACATCAAAATAAATTCAATAATATGTCAAAAATATTAAATAATGTTGAGCTTTACGAATAAACTATCAGTTTGGAAAAACAGATATCAATTGTTTCTGAAGCTTTAAAAAAGCTTCAATCAGAAAACATTTCAATTTCAGAAGCTGTTGAAATATTAATTATCTTACTATCGTGTGATGAACTATCGTTAGAACCCTATAAACATTTTGTAAAAAGATTCCATCAGGTTGTTCAGTCACCTCATTTATTGGCATATGCATCCTGGATCCAGGAACAAAGGGGCAATTTTTAGCAACAAGAACAATTGGCAGAAAACTGTTTTTCTAAGCATCATCCAAAACTTCTGCCAGATGTTATGGCATTCGAAATTTCCGATCCTGAGTACTTCCTGAAATCAATGATGCTTGACACTGTTATTCAACAGTTTTCAACAAAAAAGAGTGGAAAATTGTGGCCAAAAAATAAGAAAAAAATTCCAAGCTTCCACAAAATTTCTGCCAATTCTTTTTTCTTTACACTCAGCACCAGCATCCCTGTATCTATCGAAAGACTTCAACTTTCGGTTTGGTATGGAGTAAACAACGAAATAGATTAGGAATAGATAAAGCTACAAAACTTTTAGAAGTGTATCACCATCTAAGAAAGAAATGTAGACACTTTGAATCTGCAGTATGATAATAATAATAAATAAAAAAAATGGACCGTTTTTTGGTTAACTCCTAATATCTGCTGACAATTCGTAACTATTTGGAAAAAGTTTATCACCATTAAAAAACAGTTAAAATTTAAAATATTACTTTTAAGATTTTTCAAATATCAATTTTTAAGATTTCATTTGAATATAATTTATTTTGTTTCTTTTAATCATGTTTAAAAAAATTGAAAACAAGCGGAAATATTTTTTTTCTATTAAGTGATACATTTAACAAATTTAAAGTTTTATTTTCTGATTTTAAAAAATAAGCTTAAAATTTTTTCTAAATGCTTTTTTTATAATTTTAAGATTAATTTGTTTTTTGAAATTATAAAGTTAAAATTTATTCAGGGTGCGTAGCGTTTGTAAAAAGTACTTAAAGGTGCTTTTTTGGGGATTTCGTTTTTAAAAGCTTTTAAAGGTGCATTTTTCAACTGGCGTTTTTAAAAAGTGCTTTTTTTTCNAAGTAAATATTGATACTCTTTATAATTATACATAATTTTAATTTCACTTTCTATTAATCGTATTATAAGAACATGGAAGACCATTAAATATTTATTCCAGTTTAATTTTATTATAGGTAAAAGTCAGATGAAATTTTAGTTTTTACTGATTATAATGATATATATATGATTTTATATATATGATTTTACTGATTAGTGATATTGCATTTAAACTTATTTTAATTTTATTATATATATTTTATATAAACTTTTTGAATTTATTTATATTTTTAAGCTTATACAACACTATTTAATAAATAAAAATATTTTCACAGCAAATTTTTAACAATTATGTGGAAAATGAAAAAACCCAATTTCCCCCGGGTTTTTTCAAATAAAACCCAATTTTACCCGGGTTTTTTCAAACCCTGGTTAAAAGGTAATTAGTTAGTTTTTACTTGAATGTCAGCTCTCCTCTTTATTTTTATGCTGAAAGTTAACTCTAAAATTAAGTATGAGTTTATTTAATTTTATAATATATATCTATGCACATAATATGAATACATATTTTCATACACTTAGTTGTATATAATTTTCTGAAATAAAAAAAACAAGCGATTTTGAGATTGTTTTCTTCAAAATGATGCAACCATTAAGATCTTAACTAGCATTAAAACTCAAACAAGTAGTTAAATTGTAATTAGTTTTTGCCTTATTGATATCACTTCAATAGTGTGAGCTGTCCTCAACAAAGAAAATAAAGATTCATGGTAGATTATATACAAGCTCAACTATAGTCCGGCTTTTAGGAGAACTCCAAACACCAGTCTTGTGTCGTGGCGGGTACCATGGTTACGAGGAAAAGTCACTTTAAATAGGGGTGAATAGCTTGGTCTTGTCATAGGTCAATGTGAGTAAACCAATCTACACCTTCATTTCACCCCCATTAGAAATGTGCTCTCGCTTGTTACCATAGCAACAGACAGCCCCAGACTTTTAGTCTGGAGGAGTTTTCCTCAAAGCCGAACTATAAAAGCATGTCTTTTGCTTATAATTTTCTAAATTTGAAATTACTTACTATAGAATTGGGTCAGGCGCTACTGTTGTGGTTACTATTTTATTAGAATTTTTTTTTTAATTAGTTGCAGTTTTTTGTAGAACACTAAAAAATTGCCAATTGCACCAAATTCAAAATTGACTCGAAATGCACACAGTTATAAAATGTACTGAGTGTGAGGGAAAAAAAATAGGAAAGCAAGGGAACTTACTGAAACACTACAGAATATAAGAGCTGCTGAAGTAGATGTAAATGAAATAGCAAAGAAAATGAAAGTCGACATCTAAAATCTAAAACTGAAATTAAAAGCAGTTATAACAAAAACATAAATAAGATTAAAAAAAGAAACTAGGTGAAACTTATTTCTGAGAGCGAATCAAAGATTAAAAAGTGCAATTTCAAAAAATAATATTAAAGAAGTTAACCTATGTAGATAGTCAGATAAAGCAGGACTTATATTTAAAAAATCTTAAGGCAAAAAACACCAGACTTTGTTTCCAAAGGCATTAAGTAAATTAATATGCTATTGCAAAGGTCAGAAATTATGTAGAAATATTTATATGTATCGTATATATATAATTTTAATGTTTGCATTCAATTGACTATTGCATTCTTTATTTGAAACTACCATAACTTTCCGAACTTATTCTCATTTTTTATTATGAAATAAAATCAAGTCAAAATATCATTAAATCTAATTTTAGGAAAATTCTGTGAAATAAGTTTTGTTTTAATTAATATTATTCCTGATACAGTTATTACAATTTGATATATATATGTATATAAGATTAAAAAAAATATTAAGAAAACAATGAAAGAAACAAAAAGGAAAACTACCGAAAAGAACAAGAATGTTTTAAAATTAAAAAGCAAAAAGATATATCTCGTCGTCAGCTGACACAATTACATCCGCTAATTAAAGTGCTTTCTAATGTGTTAATATAGCCTAAGCAACTTACATCAATAGTGTCCCGCAAAGGGCTAATCGTAAAGCAGGACTGATTTTGCTCCGGAAAAAATCTGGATTTTTCCCTAGCCACAATCCGGAAGTTTCTGGAAATCCAAGGCCCAGTTTCAAGAAATCATTGATCACATTTATGCATAAGATTTCTTGTATATTTTATTTAAAAATATTAGAACTAGAATTTATACTTGTCATCTCTTTCATTTGTAAATGTTTTTTCTGGTAGAATAATAAATATAATTGAAGATAAAAGTAAAATTATACATAATTATTAATTTAAATTATGCTGCATACAATTTATAAAGAATTTCATGTTTTGAAATTGTCAA